TTGGGCATGTATTTTGCTCAAAAAATCTAGATGCAATTTATAATTAGACATTACCAACAAGTGAATGTAAACACGCATCTTGAAGAATTTATTGCATCTGTTGTCATAATGGAAGCAGGATATCTTATTGCCTCTCTACTAACTAGCTGATGTCCCTTTTTTCAGAGATAATGTGTCAACCGAGAACTGGTGAATGTGTTGTTACACGCATGCCTTGTAAATACATGAATGCAAGTCCTGTGTGGTCTGTCCAGCGTATTTTATATTTAACAGATGTTTGCATTTCTCAGGCTCTGAGATTGCCTTTGGGTTCATCAAGGCTGTAATACAGGAAACGGTTCGTGCCTCATTTCCTTGAAGTTGCCCTTGCTTCTCTCTGTTTGGCTTTTACTGCTGCAGAAGTTGTAGAAGTAGGACAATGAATTTGTTTTGTATTTTTTAAAGCAACCACTAAGTACAATTTTACACAGCTGCAGTTATGAAGCCTTACTGCACCAATTAATATATTGTTGATTACACTTTAAAAGGCTTCTTTTATCAACAACTTAGTCACGTAGATAGTCCACATAGTTTACAAAGAACACTTACGGAGGAAAGGCTGGCAGATGAAAAATCCCAGGTATGTGGTATTTAATGTAATAAGGCAGATCTTGACTTGTCAATTAATTACTATACAAATAAAACAAGCACTCAAAATGGAGCAATAGTGTGTCAGAAACTGATTTATGATGTATGCAGATATTTGGTATACGGTTCAAAGATCTTAGCAGAATGAACTAAAGACAAGTCCAGATGACAGGTAAGAATGCTTCTTGCTTATTAGTGCTTCAAAAAGGCATGGAAAAAATGCTTCACGTTTGCCGTTAGAAATAAGTGGATGAACACTGAATTTCCATTTGATTTCAGAATCACTCGGCAAGAAAAAAAATCACGGTGCAGAAAAATAAATAAATGCACATTTTTAAAAACCTTGGAGAGATGTTCTAACATTGTGTTATTCTAAAATCTGTCTTCCTAATTATCTGTAGAGAACTGTTAATCACATTCAGAAACACAAAGCATGAGCAAATTATCACAGGGCACACATTATTTGAACTTGTGATAGTTGACCAGGGCAAGGCACAAAGTCCTTCGTAAGAGATATTGTGAGGAAATATAGCTTTTAGTGAAGGAAGTTCACTATGCAGTAGACACTATGCTGTTGCAGCAGCCTAAGAATAGACATGCAGACCATTGCTACATACCAACTGTTGCGCGGTAACTGGCGGACATGACATAGCTTGTTCAGGTATCAAGAATGGTGCAAGGATAGCAGAGCTGATCTCCCAGAATAGATGTGTACTAGGTGACTCCCTGGAATTCCTCCTACTACTATAATTCTAACTACTGTACCAAAGGGAAGCTAGTTGATGAAATGCTGTCTCAATATGGCAGAAATTCCAAGCATGACTATTTGATGCCATGGTCTTTTTAAAGCCGAAGTTGGTGCATATTTAATTTATTTTGATTTTCGTACATTAGGACACCCTAAGTGTGCATCACTCAGCCATGTTTCTAGGATTTGTTGGAATTATCATCTCTTTTCCTTCCCTCCTCATATGTATTGCATTTTATCTACTGAAGAAGTTTTTGGCCACAGTGCCCATGGATACCGACATGCCTGCCTGAGAGTTGGACTCTGGCAGTGATCTGGATAATAATAAAGATGATGAATATATAGATCAGGTCATGAAAAAGATGTTAAAATGGCTAACTCCATATTACTTACTGTGGTTCACTTTCCACTGAAAGTTAATTATGTGTAAAGATTTACATGAATTAATGTCATATATTAGTTATACAAAATTTAGGTAAAAATATGTAAAAAAAGCTACATGATTTTACTCATATGTAAAACTAATGTGAATTATTACTGTTTAAAGTTTCCCTCATAATTCTCTTCATACTTACTAAACCTGCTGGGGGATTAAGTTATATATAGTTTCCATTCTTACTGCTGAAAGACTGCTAAATACATGACAGCTTTCATGCCTTTTCCCCAGAAAGTCCTGCAGTACTCTTCAGGGAGTCTTGTATCAACAGATAGGAACAACTGTGATGGAACTGACTAAATCACAAATATGGCAGTTGTGGCAATGCTGTCTAACAGAAAATTTCCCTTAGTTGTGAAGAAGTGAATTATTGCCCTTTCTTTTAAGAAAATTTGCTTTCTGCAATCATTTCTTGATGACATCGTATACCTTCTTTGTATTTTTGCAAAAGGGCTGAATGTCTTAAAAAAATACTTCCTAAAGTGAGATAGTTATTCATTGTATTGTTGACAGGTGTTAACATTGCAAGCACAGTAGAATGCTGACCTGTCAGGTTTACTCTGTGTCTTTTCCACTACAGAAACAACTTTGTGCTGTAGTTATATAAAGCAGCCAAAATAACATGAGGAATTGAAGGTAGTGACGTAACTGCACTTATAAATGCTGTAGTATTTTCCCTTGTGGAAAAAAATCATAATCCATGTAGGCCATTGTTTTCTAGTTCATGCTAGTTTGTGTCTTTTCAGCAAACAGCCATCAATGCTTTTATTTTTCTTAGAGTATAGATAATAAAAGCAAACTCACCTCCTTATTAACTTGGTCTCTAGAGATTTTGAATGTTCCTAGCCTGATTAATGACCCATTTAATGTTTGTGTGTGTATATACGCACATATTTGTCTCTTGTGTTCATTGTGGAACAAAGGATTTCTGTGAAAGAATCTCTCGAGCTAATTTTCGTATCTTAGTAGAGGCAGTAGATTTTAAGAATTCAGTGGTGTCAGCAAGGGGTAACTGCAGCTCAGCTACTGGCACATTAGTTTAGCAATGAAGCTGTAAGGAAAATAACCCACTTGGGAAAGTTTTAAGTTGAGCTGAATGGAATATTCTAAAGATGGTGGACAATTTTCTGGGAAAAAAAAAAAAAAAGAGTTAAAAGCTTTCCTGACAAAGTTCAAAGTAGCACTGAAACACTTTCTCTTAAAAAAAGGAATACTTTGGTTGTTTGTTGACGGTATAATGATTTTGAATGTGTAACCTAACAGACCTTATTATTTCAGATATATGAACATCTACACTGTTGCTTTGTAATATTGCATCTGAAGATGAGAAAACAAACCACTCCAAAAGTTACATCTACGGGCAATTTGTAGGCACTTTGTTCCAGGTTATGTCCGTGGTCAGTTTCATTGTACTAAGGAATGCAGCACTTGGTAATAATGATTTAGTGTGAAGTCAGTGAAGTATGTGCTTGTGTGTTTAGAAATGACACTTGCATCTAAAGTGAGGCAGGAGAGGAGAAGGGAAAAGGGATGAGTTGGCTTGTTGTAAAAACAGAACAGTTAGTGACCAAGGGAGGCTGGTGAGTGACGTAGTTTTGAGGTAAAATAGCAGGATACTGCCTCAAGACTGTAATCTGCCAAGAATTATCTGCATCTAGTGTTTCCTTGCTGAATTATTCCAGCAAGAGGACTTAATTTCCAGAAGAAGGACTCTGAAGCCCAATAAAGGATTTTTTTATCTTTCTATGAGTTACTGGTTTTGAAGAAGGAACAAAAAACTTGGTTGGCCTTTGTGATTTAGAGGAGGAACGTAAAATTTCACTGTGCTTGCAGTTTTCATTACAGAAGTGAGAATTCAGGATCCTCATGAAAAATTGAATTTGGCCAAGTTATAAGCCTCTGAGGAACACTTCTGTCTATGTACTTAGTAGAAGCTTCACCCTTTCTAACATCCAAAATATTTAAAGATTCCTGTTTCTGTCTGCTGACCAGATCTCTTCGCAGAAAGAATTTGCTGTGCTTTTATGCCAGGTTAAAGGTGCTAAAATGGATTTTCACTATAAAGACATACCTAATTCATACTGGATTAGGGTTGGGAGGGGAAAAGAAAACTAGGATAGAAGAAGAGAAGATAGGGACTATCTGCTTTCTTTCATATATGTATGTGGCTGTGTATGTGTGTATCCACACATGTCTATAAAGAGTGTGAATATGTGTGTATATGTGCATATGTATATAGAGAGGTGTTTGTATACATTTGTATAAGTGCATATGTAGAGGTATACACAGACAGTGTTGTGGTTCCAGAGTGCTATACAGTTCTAAAGGTATCTGGTAACAAACAGTACCGATATTTATTTTGTGCTGTCTCACTTCCAGGCTGTTCTGTATTGCCACTTGCAATGATTAAAAAGGGAGTCTGATTTTAAAATAGATGAAATTAAAAAAAATTAAAACAACACTTTATATCTTTTGGCTTCTGATACTTTGACTTAAATCTGAATGTATTCTAAAGGTGCTTCATGCAATCACAAGGTTTGGGAAGAATGTATTCATAAAATTAAAGAGTCTCACTGAACTGGATGAACACATACTATTGTATTTCTTGTAATAAAATGTGAGAGTTGACGACAGTAAAGACTCAAGATCACCAAGAAATAGTGTGTTCCAAGTAACATTGAACAAAACATGGCAAGTCTTAATATTGAAAGAAATACAGAAAATGACTCATACATAACGTGTGGGAAGGAACAGATATCAGAAGTGTGTGAAATCTGATTGTTTCTTATAATGGTTCTGAAGGCACAGGAAAGTAACTGTTCATCTCTGTTGACTTTAATGCCTTGACAGAAATAATTCCTGTGTTTCTCTGTTCATCCCAGATTTCTAATTTCTTTGAGTGCAAACAGACTGAGATGATACACCTTTTAAAATATGGAAGCATTTATGTAAATTAATGTAGCCATTATTCAGGAAATATTTCAACAAGATAATAGGTTTGGCATTGCAGTTTGCTACATTGTACCTGTAGGCGAGCTATACCAACTTTCTTTAACTTCTTAATTGTTGTTTTTCTGTGTTGTTTATACTTGATGTGTTGCAAGAAGGTACATTTTCTGTGCAATATATGCAACAATCAAATGCAGTTATCAGTATATTACATTTTAAATTTTTTCTTTTTTTTAACAGAAGGAAGGAGAAAAAAATCACAAAGTCCGACTAGCAGTTGGAAATGGATTAAGAAATGATGTATGGAGAGAATTTTTAGACAGATTTGGTGCTGTTAAGATCTGTGAGTTTTATGGAGCTACTGAAGCAAACATTTGTTTCATGAACCACACAGGAAAAATTGGATCTGTTGGACGCACCAATTTCTTTTATAAGGTGACTATTTATTTACACTGTACTTTGTAAAAGGGAGTGCTGAAGGTAAATGTGTTTCTCAGTTTGACCACACGACATGGGGCTGCAGTCATAAGTCCAAGGTAAATTTTCTAACTTTGTTATTGCAAGTTTAATTGACTCTCTGTAGAATCTTTAGTGCCAAAATATGGCAGACACTGCTTAGGACCCAACCCAGGTATACTTTCAGCCGTAGTACTTAGATTTTTCTTGAAGTTCACAAAAGTCAAAAAGGCCTTGCCTCTCTTCTGACAGTTTCAAGTAGGTTCAGAATATCATTTCAAATCTCTACTGTATTAAAGGACAAAAGAGGAAGCTGAATTTATTTTAATGCCTAAGAACTCATCGTCTGTGAAATGAACATAGAAGTGTCCTGTTCTTAGTGTTCTACAGATTATATTTAGGGCTGTTTTCAAAGAGTATATTTGTATTGCATATTACTATGTAAGTATTTGGCATAGATACGAATAAATGGTAATTAAAATAAAGTAACCTATAGGCAGATACAACTTTAAGAAATATTTTATACCTAGGTGCAATTAAATATAAGTAACTCATTTGAACTACTCTACATCTAGTCTGTGTAATTATTCAGAAATTTCAAAGATAATGAAATACATATGTAATCACTGTTGAGTAATAGCAACAGAGAGTACTTGCCAAGGATATGAATTTAAAAATTCTATGCCCGTTTACCTACTAGGTCTGCTGCATTTATTTGGTTTGTTCTAAGTTACTAAAAGTAGAAGAAAACATACATTTTTTTCACCGCTTGTATTTCATCAGCTTTGACAATGGATGTTTGGTATGTCTTGGGGAAGAGGAATATGTATGATTTATATCACACATGGTGGCTTTTCCTTCATCTTTCCGTGTAAATGAAGAAGAATTTATTTTGGCTTGAAACGCAGAGTTAGATTTTTCTCTTTGGGTCCTGTTAATACCATCTCTTAAATAATTTGAGAATTCAGTAGCAACATGTGTCCCAAGCTTTAGCTAATAATATGAAATATTATTTACCAAGGCTTTCTAGCAAGGGGACTAGGTATGTAACATCATGCTGTTATTTATGCCATTTTTTAGTCTTCTTGATATAAATAGGACTACATGCATTGCCTAGAATTTGTAAATTAACTGAGATACCTATCTATGCTGAGATAGCTAGCCATGTAGACAAATCCTGCTGACCAAAGTGGCATTTATGCATCTGAGGAGAACTGATAGTAAATGTCCTGGCAAAACTTTTTTTCGGAGAATGATGTAAAAATGTTGTTTGGAAATACATCAGAGGTATCTTCTGATGACATGCAAAAAAGTTTCTAGGCAGCATATGTTCCAGGGTCCACAAATTCAATACAGCATCACCACATAACAATCACTGCAGACTACTTTACAACTCGGGACCAGAGGAATTATTCACTTCTGGAGTAGGAACCCAGACTGAAGGAAGGAACCTGGAAACACTCACAAAAACACCATAAGAGCTTGTGTGTTTTTCAGAAACTTTTGAGAGCTCAGTAATTTAAGCAGACAGACTCTTCTGATTCTCTGTTCTACATGACTGATGCTCTCTAGCATGCATGGTGGACATCTGGTGCTGATGGATGTCTCTAGAAGGGTACAGTTCCACTACCACAAATCAGGAATCTGGAATTCAGGGAGTAGTAGGTGAACTGAGAACCTTAGAGCTGGTGCTAATTTTTGATTCAGACTTTTCTATTTTTAATTATTTTAAACCTTTTTTTTCTTTAATCTTACGAAATTTTACATTTGTTCCAAACCTGAATAAACTTGTTTTCAGTATTTCAGAATTTTGGGCACAGTTTTGTCGTAAGTCATTAGCCTTTTGGAAATAGCATGTAAAGGTTACAGCAGATAAAGTATTAGACTTGAAATTACCAATTTATTGACTTAATTATCTGTATTTTTAATGAAGTAGTGTGGGGGGTTGCCTGTGTTAATAGTGGCACTTCATATGTTAATAACATACTGTTTGTGTTTCCAAAAGGCAAATTAGTATTTTGTGGGTTTTTTGCACATGAAACATGCTACTTTTTCCTCTTTAATGATTTGACTTATGATTTGAGTTAGTCACTGCAGATTAGGAGAAAAAATAGCTCATGCAATTGGCAATTAAAAATTAAATGCAGTTGTAACTGAATACTTCATCTCACTAGACATCTTTTCTAGAATTTATAATCTGTTCCAAGTTGGAACTGTTACAGTCTATGGAAGCATCAGTATAGTCTGCTAAGATAATTATGGATTGTCCTCTTGCTTATTCCGTATGAATATGGAAAGATTATAAGGTCTTTAATGAATCGGAAAAAGCCATTCATTCCATTTGCCTTGGCTTGAAATCAGTTTTATTCTGTCTTTTTCAATACTCTCTTTTCCCTAGAAATAAAGCTACAGTAAGTCCTCAGTTATTTCCATAGTTTCTGTCATAAGGAAAGTAGTTAAGGCACATTATTTGTGAGCAGGCTCAATATTTACCTACTACCATTCTCCACGGGGCCTGAGGTGTGTTGGCTCCCAAGCCTTCCCCCGATGTGTATACATGTGGCATTCTATGACTCTAGAGTTTGAGGGAAGAATGAAGGTTGCCACTGAAAATGAGATTCAGTGCAGAGACAAACTACCTCGCCTTGGTTACATGGGCATGGAGTGTTCAACCAGGTCAATGGGTGAATTATATGACCCATTTTAAGTGGAAATAAAACCGCCCCAAATATGTTCAAAATCAAGGAAATTTCAGAGACTGCTCCAAAGCTCCATCAGGAGCTTTTTTGTAAGTAGTATGATTTGATCCAGAGCATTTATGATTGTGCAACATACAGGGTCTCTCTCTCTGAAAGAATTTGTGTCAGTGGAACAACATGGCATATTAACAATATTATGATAGCTACAAGTGTCAGATTAACAGCTCTGCAGTCTGTTACCTACTGGGGCTCTGCTTCTGTCATCAGTGCAGTTCCTCTGGATGACAGTTCCTTCAGTCTGTTTCATGAAACTTTTTTGCAGGAGCAACTACCTCGCTAATATGCTGAAGCAGAGTCATGTTGACAAGAACAAGGGCATATATGTAGTGCAGCTTCAGAAAAGTCTAGAAGAGGTTGAGAGAGAGAAGGAATGTTCAAAATAGAGACATACTTTTTAGTGATTTTTTTTTAAAAGTACATATCTAAACAAATATGAAGTTTGGGGACCTTTTATATATGTTTTTGGTTCCTCTGCAATCTGTGAGTATTGTAACACAAACTACCTATGTGTTTTAATGCCATAGACAAGTTCATATTTTACTTATTTCAGGCATTTGTTGTGAGGTTTTTTAAATACATTTTACAGGTTACAGATTATTAAACAATGCATTCTGAAGTGTAGCTGTTGTGTTTGGTTTACTTCAGTCTGAATGACATCTGCTGGACATCTAGCAGTATGTAGAAGAGAGCAGCTTTAGTTCTGATTTGCTGACCCATGAATGATCTGAGGTTGGAAAGGGAGACTGTCTCCTGCTGGAAAGCAGAGAATGGCACAGACAAGGCCCAGCTATGCAATTCCTAATCTTTTTTGTTTCTTCAAAGAAATGCTACAACAGCTTCTGAAACATTATTCTCTTCACACATTAAGGAGATACTCTTAGAAATACTCACTAGGGATATCCTAAACACCTATTTCTTAAACCAGGAAAGGAAAGAAAAAGAGCTGAGAAAGGGGAAAAAAGGCTTGTGTGTTCATATGTGTGATACAGTAAAGGGGAAAAGAGGCTTGTGTGTTCACATGGGATACAGTAAGGGAGAAGGAAGAAACCTACTCTATTTCTGCTGGCATAATTGCACAGTTGGAATGAAGTAAATGTAGTAAAAAACCCATACATAAGATAATGAGAGTATAGTCAGAATAATAGCAGGTAGGTTCAAAGTATAGTATTTTTAGCATGGAAAATTAAAAGAAAGAGGAAGGCATTTCTGTTGTAGGTAATGGCAATGACATAGTTTATAAAGGTGAAATGCAAAGAGAAGTTACAGAATCACAGAATCACAGAATAGTAGGGGTTGGAAGGGACCTCTGTGGGTCATCTAGTCCAACCCCCCCCCCG